AATTCTCCAAACTGATCTCCATACATTTCCTTCATGAATGAGTTGAGACAATTTGAGAAAAGATCAGGGCATTTTCCCTTAGGTGATCATTTTATGAATTCTCATAACCTAATTGCTTGACATTGTATGGATATCGTTAGGAGAAAATTGACGTTAGTCACTATTGGGACTCAAAGGGTTAAGGATGGACATCTCACTATGGCAGACATATAGTTCCCATCCCAAAGATGTCCATCTTGGAGAAAGTTGACTGTATTGGTAAGTTCTCATTTGGCTTTTTTATGGTTTGAGACAAAGTTGAGGTTCAGACAACACAAAAACAACAAAAAATAATGCTAATATCCATAAAGCAATACTATTGGTTTCTGGTAATTTTTATTGAATGGGCAAGATGGCAAATTGATCCACAACACATCTAACCAACAACATTCAAATCAGTGGTAGATTCAGGGGAGAGGCCCGGGTGCCCATCCCCCCTCTTATTTCATGACCAAACTGAGGCGTGAAAGGGCCAAAAAAATTTTTTTTGGAGACGAGCAATCCCCCCGCCCCCGCCCTTCCTCACTTATCTCAGGGTCTGGATGATCACCGGGCCCCACATATCTGAAGGTCTCGACCCACCACTGCAAATGACATACCTCCACTGAGTGGTAAAAAAAAGCCTGCCTGACCACTCCTCCTGAGATAGTCCCATAACCAACAAGCTGGACCAAGACTTATCTCCTCTTCAGGCGAGTGGTACTGAACCTCTATTGGGTCTGCTGAAGGGATGGATATGTCATCTCCATGACTCAATGCAAAGTCCACCTTGATGCGCGGATAGCTCTTAGTATAAGCTGTTGCACTTGAACCAAATGTTGGTGTGGAGCCTCTATGAGAGCGCACTTCTTCCAAGTCGATTGTCGCCGTGACAACTTCTACCTCCTGCAATGAAAACTGTGCACCCTGTGCAACAACATGACCATTGACAGCAATCATTGAGCATCCATCATAGTAAACTCTTTCTCCATCGCAGCCTCTCATATTTGCATATATATAAATGCCACCAGCCTACAGAGTATTAAGAAAAGTAAAGAGCGCTAATGTTCAGTTTGACGTCAGTGATGGCAATATAATTTCTACAAACAAATGCTTTGACCAGCAAATGTACATGTTTAATTTTTGTTAACCACTGTGAGATATCTTTGAATAATCTTTAGTATATACTAAAACAGTGGATAGTGTTTTTCGCGCGCTCTGATTGGCTACTCAATCAGTGAATATCCTGCACTATTCACTGATTCACCTCCAGTTCCTCCGAGCGAGAGACGCCAAAGTCGCGTAAGTTTCAAAATGCCTTCCCGGTTTGCTGCTGTAACAAACAAAGAAATTTCACAACTAATCAAGCAAGCTGTTTCCGAAATACACGAAGAAAGTGACGAAGCTCGGGGTGGAAGTTTTCACAGGTAAAGCTTTGTCTTTTTGACTTGAATTTATCGATAAAACTGGCGAAAAAGTTTTGTTGTTTACAAATGCAAATTAAGTTTAAGTCTTGCGTTACTTTTTTTAGTTGTCTTGTTCAAAAATAAGCTTAAAACTTAACCTAATAATCCTTTTTTCAGAATGATTTTAAATACAAAAGGAATTCACAACTCCTTTTGAGGAAATTTCCCTGCAAGAGCTGAACGTACAAATGCCTTCAAAAGTTTTATTTGCTGGCAAGAAAAAGCGATGACAGCGGCCGTTCGGTCATTGCGCGCCAAAATTGTAATCGTTGCAGGCAACAGTAAATCAGTTAAAAATCATCATTTTGGGCTCAATTATCTCACTGTTTTAGTATATACTAAAACAATTATTCACCTCAGTGTCGGTTGCTAGTGATGGATATTTACCTCGCCGCTAACGCGGCTTCGGTAAATATCCATCACTAGCCACCTCCACTTCGGCGAATAATTGTTATTTATACATTGTACTCAACAGGTGTAATTATGCATATTTTATATTTTTTAAATAGTATGGTAATGTTTTTTCACTTTCAAATGTTTATATTGAATTTCTATTGTTCATATTAGATTTTATTGTAATTGGTATGTGAAAACCCATTTTAATTGGATGTACCAATAAAGTTGATTTGATTTGATTTGATTCAATAATAATACATGAACGTCTTCTCAGTAGCTAAGAGCCTTAGAGAGATGTCCGTCTTATAGAGAGTAAAATTAGGGAGTAAAGAATGGCAGGGGCCAACTCTATGCGTCCTTTCTACGGTATACAAAGGCGTCCACCTTATAGATGTGTTCATTAAGAGAGAGTCGACTTTACAAACTTTATCCGTTGAGCCACAATACTTACCACTTTTCATTGTCCCAAAATTCTACTGGTTCATATTCAACAAATTCCTTCTCCAGGTGTTTGTAGCAATGTTGTGCAAGGTTCTGCAGTCTGCTTGAACCTTAACAAAGCAGATAAAAAACATTTAGGTTTGATGAAACCCAGTAAATACAAGCACCAAAAGAGTAGACCAAAGTGGCTTCATTACCTAGGTGTTCATCTTATGGGCTAAAATAATCATTCATCATCACAGTGACATGTCAAAAACCCACAATTGTGAGCATAATATTAATACGAATCAAATGGTATACTTGTGAAAGTGGGGAATAACTTCAATTACCATTGATTAGACACACAAACTTGACTAAAAGAATAACTTACTATGGTGAACAATCTGGAGAACTGGTTTTTCCAAATATTTTGGGAAATTTTCCAGCCTTTTCAATGCTTGTTCTTCACTTGCTACCGCTTCTCCATATTTTAGGTTTGTTTTGCCAGTAATCTTGCAGCTCCAAACTTGGAATCCATACAGTATTATACGATTAACATATTCACTTTATTGTGTCAAGAACAAATAATCCAGGTTGTAAATTTTGAGACAAGTTAGTATTGTTGGAATCTAAGCAAGGAAGGCTAATATTTTTTATGCTCAGACTAAAGGGTATATTCAGTGGTTAATTTGTCTTAATACAGCTCAAAATTGAACTGACTTTAAAATTATTATTATCCTCAGTCAACTCAGAGGCTAACTGCAGGTCATTTTTTTCTTTTTCCCAAATCTTAGGACTAGGCTAATGCATTCACCTTTCAACCTCTGGACATGTTCTGGACCACCAGTTAGTTTCCATAAAAGGGCTGGTCATTTATTACCTGTGATGTTGGGGCCAGCCATTATGAGACCGACAAAACAATTCATCCTACATAATGTAGCTTTTTAGAAATGACAACCTTTAAATTTAACACATTGTGATTTACATGACCTCCCACCTTATAGCTGTGGAAACTTAAAATATTCTAGCTACAGATTGTGCAGAATTTCACCACATACTTTATCTACAGTGATGATTATAAGATCAGTGTTTATCGTTTACATTCAATAATTGAATGTAACAGCTGTTCAATTTACACTCGTTACTGCACTGTACTACTTTCATGAAATTTATTAAAATGATCCCCACCCCCTACCAAACCAATCAAGATTTTGAAAATGACCCCTCGCAAAATGGCTGGCCTCCTCACAGGTAATAAAAAACCAGCCCCGACAGGAAAAAGTCTTTAAAGACAGGAGTTCATATCAGTCAAATGTCTGTAATATATATTTGCCTCGGATTTAGATGCTGTCTGTGTATTGGGGGTATCCAGACTAATGATGTGACTGACTGCAAGAGAGNACACACCTTGTTCCACTTTGTAAACCAACGACCCTCCCTATAGTTAGCATCGTTAGCAAGTGTCATTTTCGGACGGATCAAAAGTATTTTTCCATTGAGAAAAATAACTCTGCAGTTGTAGCGAACATTCCTGTGCATTATGGGCATTCCAACATCGCAGATGATGTCCTTGGCTACTGGCGATTTTAGCAACACAGAAAGAACTTGAAAAGAATGTAGTAGCGTGTCGCTTTCCAAGAAATGATCGTTGCAACCGTAACCAGGGATTTCCAGCTCTGGTCCAAGCCTGTATGTTGCACCATGTGCTCTGGCAAGATTTATACTCTGAAGGATGCGTTTCAAGTTGCCTTCAAAATCCAAGGCCCATTGATTTAACGTGCAAGCCGCAAGAGTCACTTTTCGCCCCATCTGAAACTTAAGCAGAGATCTGTCTGTGAGGCAAAGTTTAATCACAATTTTCGCGACTTCAAAGCGAATGTTCAATCAAGGATTGAGATTTATTTACGATGATTGCCGGAAAGTGTCGACTGTTCGTGGCTCTTCGTAGCTCCGGATCGAACTCGAACCAGTCTCTCCGTCGCGAGTGATTGCATCACATTACATCACATCGATCTCTTCCCTTTCAGAAAAGAATTACGAAACAATCGCGAAAACAATATGGTTCGTTATGGGTTATTAGTCTTGTCTCCTTCTTGCCTCAGAACTAAAATACCAGCCCTTCTGAAGCAAGCATCGAAAGAAGTCAAAGAGGTATTGTACGTTGACATTTATCAACCTGATTACGTGTGCCTCCATCTTCGCAATTTGTACGACCTACTCGTCGATGTTTACAGCAAAAATTCCTCGAGAATTGGCCATTTGGACGTCCGATTTCTGCTTCCTTCCGCGTTGGCAAAAACAGACGGTAACCTTGATGAAGTTAGATATCTTGGAAAGAGACCTGAGGTCGCACTTGTGCGAGATATTTTCTGTAAAACAGGGCAGTCAAGTTCACAGGTTGGCCTCCTGGAGTTCAAGAAGTGGCTGACCCGACGTTTTCAGTTATCCGATTTGGAGAAAAAAGTGAAGTATTTAAAGGTCGAAGACGAGGCGACGGATAGTAACTTAATCAACAAAACTTGTGGGCCAGAAAATCCACAAAATGATGCTTTGCAGACCTACAATGAGGTCGTTCTTGGGGGAACATTCGATCACATTCACTCTGGCCATCGATTACTTCTAGCTGTAGCTTCCTTGCTTTGCGAAGAAAGAATTACGATTGGCCTCAGCGATGGGCCTCTTCTTCAAAGAAAGTTTTTGAAGGAACTAATCGAGCCTTTCCAAGAGAGGAGGAAGAAATTGCAGAACTTTTTGAATGACGTTAAGCCAGGTATGTCTTTCATTTCTTTCATCGTGTTTCAAATTACATCACTAAACCAACATTCAGATTGGCTGACCAACGTGCTACTTGCATCTTATTTCCTCGAGTAATAGCCGGGGGCGATTATA